TCCCTGTGTCCCCAAAAACACAAACGATACAATATACTACCTCCGGTCCTTAATATAAGACCCTGTTTGACTTTTATTTTTATTCTAAATATAAGAACCCAATCTATTTTATCTCTCATATTTATACATTTTTTCTAAAATAGCCTTTCTAACAATGATAGTTCTAGTCAGTACACTTGATTAGCAAGAATATTTTAGGAAAAATAACACCCATTTAGGACAAATAACTAACTCAACTTATTTCCTTAATCTCCTCAAATTAGTCAACTGGCTCTTATAATTAGAACCGAATGTAGTATAATGATAATTACTGTGAATAAGGAGAAAAAAAATTTATGTTAAGAATACATGACCTTGTCAAGTTAACTAATAAGGAAAACGAAGTAAATCTGATGTCGAGGAATTTTGGCAGCACAACGTTTCATTAAATCTTGCTTTACCAGGAAATATAAGATATTCATACAGATCTCCAACTGAGCAGAAGAAGTAACTACAAGAAAGGGGACGTCATACGATGATTCAATTGAACCTCTCAACTTGGTTTTGTGAGACAGTCCAAATTTCCATCCTGCAAAATAACTCATTGAACATATCAGAATAATGCTCTGGGATACCTGGCAAGTGTACCGAGAGGATCTTTCATGTGCTGATTTACCTACAGACCTTGTGTCTTGATCATCTATCCTAAGTTTCTGTCTTCTTTTCTTCTTTCAAGGCTTTTTTTTTTTAAAACTTTCAATTCCAAGAAAAAAAGAAGTCCAGAAAAATATAAGATAATCAACATACTCTAAATTTACAGAGTATGTAATGATAAAAGAAACTATACAAAAATGAAACACAAGAATCAACACAGACGATAGGATGGGTTTTCATTTTAGACAAGTGTTCACGTGATAATGAGTAACCGTCAATATCATAAAATTTAAAATTTTGATATACTTTTTAGTTTGAGATCATTGTAGATGATCAGAAAATAAAATTGAAAAATCAGTAAGTAAACAAATAATGCTCATAGAAAACACACACAGGAAGTGACAATGTCTCGAGCACATAAAAATCACTACATGGATGACTGAAAACTTCATGCCCAGATTCCAAAAACCAGATACTGTTCTGATACACCAATAATTCGAGGAGTACATCCACTTGCAAGATAGAATAACTACTCAATTATGCATGCATATTACCTGGACAAAAAGCACCAGATAAGCCACACACAAAACAGCGAAATTAAATATCCATCTTTAGAAGAAAGACGAACAACCAGAACTCACAAGTGAAATAAAAAGCAAGAAACGTTTGGTACATAATATCCCAAGAGGACAGCAAGCCTTAGTACAGAATGATCTAGATTGTTCCAAGTCTATTTTCAAAAAAGTCTTGAAACAAAGTGCTCCTCCGATCCTTAATATAAGACATATTTAACTAATTTGATTAGATTAAAGAAGTTAAGTAAGTTAGTTAATTATAAGAAATGTGACATTTTTTTTCCTAAAATAACATAATCATCTTTTTTAATACTCCCTCTTCCTCTTCTACTTGATTATGGTTGAAGGAGTATCCATAGGGATAATTTAGAGAAAATTGATAAACATGAGAAATTGGTCTTACATTTAGGACAAAAACTAACTCAATAATTGAATCCTATATTAAGGACTGGAGGAGCAAATTTACAATGGATCATCTCACCTGAAAAGAGGGGCAAAAAAAAAAGAGTAGACAGTAAATTTTGCAATGCAAAAAGTATCATAGCCCTTCAATGTGGATGCTGTCGAAGTGGTACAAGGCTTTCTGCATAATTGAGTATAAGCTGACATTTGCCGCATACGCCAATAGTATAGCTCTTGAATTCATTACTAGTGAGATCGAACATGACAATTTTTGTTTCATTATTCTTCATACCTTCAGCTCCAGGCATCACTTGAACTTTGCAGATGATGTTATTCCTGCAAATAGTTTGCGGACATAAAATCCATGGATATGGGCATTGAAAAGGACTGGTAGTATATTTCTTAGTCCAAGTCCATTTCTCCCCTGATGCACCTGTACCCTCCTCCATCACCCACAGATCAATTGACGAAGTTTCAGAGTTTCCATAGCAGTGGGATAAAGTATAGCAAGCTTGTGCTCATACATAGCAAAACTAACACCGTCTTCATAGCTTATTTGAGTAGGCATTGGAATCAAAGTAGATACTTCCATTGCCATGTCAAATGAAACTATCCAGTCACTAGCAACAATTTCACACTTCTTCCCTTATCTACTTTATACTCTACTGTGTATCCAAATCAAAAGATAGCTCCATTAGCAGTAAAATTTTCAGCATATCAACGTCGTACAACCCCCAGGTTCCCAACCTCTACCTCCTTCCATGACCCCATACTTAATGAATACACCTCCACCTTCTCAACCATTTCATCATCCAAAGAAACAAAAAGTCTCACTATCCTGTAATCATTAAGAATTGGATCGAACCCAAATCCTACCTCGTAATCCGTATCCTTGAACAATTTAAGGCGTCGGAGCACTTGTTTGACTTCTTTAGTCGCCGGATTATACAATAGAAGGGAATGAGACTTATTAATGACTTCAAGACAGAGCAACCCATGATGGTAATAGAGGTTCCTGACAGTCAGCTTGGAATTCTTGAGTGGGATCTTATGAAGTTCGTGGACTTCCATCTCGCCATTGAGCAAACAATAGTAACAGAGATAACATGCGATCAAACATTTTAAAAGAAGAAAAGGGTTTCGATGGGTAGAGTGATGCAAGTGGTCTGCGATGAAAGAAGGGGATCTGAAGAGAATTTTCCAATCCCTGCACACACTTTGAAATCTGAGTAAAGACTTTCCCGGGAGCCGTACGAGTATATCTCTAATGATTTCCTGGGGAAGAAATGGCGTGCAGCCATCCAATTCCATCTGCTTCATGGTGCTCGAGAATACGATTTGATTGAATATTTAACATGGCAACTAATATAAGGATTATATTATAAAAATATATATAAATATTAGAGACAAAGAGAATGAGGATATTATAGTTAGAACCAAATTGAAAGTCAAATTAACTCTTATATTAAGTATCAGAAGTAGTTAATAAATAAAAAAGTATTAAAATGTAAACAATTCAGAATTATAATGAAAAAACTATTTTACTATTTTATAACTTTTTCTATTTTTCACTCCGATTTTAAACTTTATCGCTATTGCACATCACCTCCCTAATCATTAACAGGGTAAATTAAGAACCTTAATTTTTTATGTTTTGATTATCAACACTCCTACCATTAAAAATACCATTAAAGTTAAAGAGTTTTGACAGCTCATAGTTTTTATATTTTTATTATATTTTATATAATTTAGAAAATAATATTTGGCATTCAGAATTTAATTTTAAGTATTTTATAATTTTTAATTTAAAAAAGATATGGTCAAATAAATATTGTAAATGCCTTTTAACTATTTTATTTTAAGTATAATAATATTTAAAATTGTATGTCAAATGATAAATATTATTTTTCAAAATGATATCATATATAATAGAAAATAGACAACAATTGTTAATTTTGACAATAATTTTAATAGCATGAAGATTGATAACCAAAATATAAAATATTAGGATCTTTAGTTCAAACTCTAAAAGGTTAAGGAAGTGATCTGAAAACTAACTAAAAGTATAGGGAAGTTTTGCTTATTTTATCCTATTCTTTTCATTGAAAAAGTAGTTGTATTAATAAATTTATTAAATTTACTTTTTGGCCAATATTAATAATCAATAAATTGATAAACGTTAAAACAATTACAGATGAATTCTAAATTTGATTAAATACAATATGCAATTATTATGAAATTACTTTAAAATCTAAAATTTTCGTCAAATTTTCAATGTTAAAAAGATTTTAATAACAAATGTCATTTATTTTTAATTCAATTTCTGTTATTCACTGATAAGATGTTAAACATTTTTTTTAAAATATCTTGAATAGGAGTAATATTTGGCATAAAGGTATTTTAATTTTTAATTTATTTAAATAGGTACTAAATTGTGCAATTAATCATTGATAATTTCATATCAATTTAATCGATTCATATTGCTAACAAATACTTAATAATTAATATCATACGATTCTTTTTTTTTTTTTAGAAACTAAGTAATGTCTATGAGTCATGTCGTGAAAAAGAGTGTAATAAAACATCAATATTAATTAATTCATAATTAGATGACTATATTGATCGAACAAACAAGTCAAGAGTCCCAAGAAAGAATATTAATTCAAGTTAATACAAGCTAATTTATTTAATTTATTAATATAAATAATATTAATTAAAATAGTATTAACTTAAATTACTATTTTTTTAGAATCAATTTTAGAATAGTATAATTATATTCTAATTTTTATTATATTTATATTCTAATTAGAATATAGTCTAATAGAAATAAATAATAATTAATTGTGATTAACAATAATGATTTATTAATAAAATTAATTATAAAATATATTAAATTTAATTGTGATATTAATAATTTCGTGTTCTAAAGAAGACATATGGAGGGGGAAAAAAAACACTTTAAATACTAATCTAATCAAAGGCCAGACCAACTCAAACTACTTAAAAGAAGTTGCAAAGGCTTTTTTTACCACCATAATTTCAAGTTTCAAGTATATATAAAAATATGGACAACCTAGTGCTTAAATAACAGGATTACAAGAGTTGACAAAACAACTTATGAAATTTTTTTAGACATCTAAATAATATTAGAGCTGGAATGTTTATTGTTCATAACATCTGATTATGTGAGCCATATCAGGATGATTAATATCAATGTATTATGCAGATATCTTAATCCACAATCATCACTATTATATATGAACTGATGATGGCCGCATAAGCCTATAGCATAGCTCTTGAATTCATTACTAGCGAGATTGAACATGACAATTTTTGTTTCATCATTCTTCACCTTACCTTCAGCTGCAGGCATCAATTGAACTTTGCAGATCATTTTATTCCTCCAATAGTTTGCGGACATAACTTCCATGGATATCGGCGCGGAAAAGGACTGGTAGTATATTTCTTAGTCCAAGTCCATTTCTCCCCTGATGCACCTGTACCTTCCTCCATCACCCACAAATCAATTGATGAAGTTTCAGAGTTTTCAATAGCAGTGGGATAAAGAATGGCAAGCTTGTACTCATACACAGCAGAACTAACACCATCTTTATAGCGTATTTCAGCAGGCATTGGTATCAAAGTGGATGCTTCCTTTGCCACGTCAAATGAAACTATCCAGACTCTTCCAGCAATTTCACACTTCTTCCCATTATATACTTTATGCTTTACTGTATACCCAAACCAAAAGATAGCTCCATTAGCACTAAAACTTTCACCATGTTTAAGTTTCACAACCCGTAAGTTCCCAACCTCTACCTCCTTCCATGATCCCATATTTAATGAATTCACCTCCACCTTATTAACCATTTCATCATACCCAGAAACAAAGAGCCTCACTATGTTGTGGTCATTAAGAATTGGATTGAACCCAAATCCTACATCGAACACTGTACCCGTAAATCTTTCAAGGCGTCGGGACACTTGTTTGACTTCTCTAGTCGCCGGATTATACAAGAAAAGGGAATGACACTTATTAACGATTTCAAGACAGAGCAAACCATGATTGGAATAGAGGTTCCTGACAGTCAACCTAGAATTCTCAAGAGGGATCTTATGAAGTTTGTGGACTTCCATCTCGCCATCGAGCAAACAATAGTGATAGAAATCACACGCGATAAAACATTTCAAAAGAAGAAAAGGGTTTCGATGACTAGAGTGATGCAAGTGGTCTGCGATGAAAGAAGGGGATCTGAAGAGAATTTTCCAATCTTCGTATACACATTGAAATCGGAGCAAGGACTTTACCGGAAGCCTTATGAGAATGTCTCTAACTATTTCTTGTGGAAGAAATGGTGCGCTGCTATCCATTTCCTTCTGCTCCATTGTGCTCGAGGATGAGAATGGGAAGACTCCGCACTTCATTGGAGGCGGAAAATTAGGGATTAATAAATAAAAAGTAATAAATATTATTATTATTATTATTAAATAAAAAGTGTTCATAGTAAACAATTCAGATTGGACAAAAAATTCACAATTATGATGAAAAAGTATTTTACAACTTTTTGTTCATTTAGTTTTTTTTTCATTATTTAATACTATAATACTCCTTAGATCCTAAATAATAAAACCCCTTTCATAGTGTAATTACATTATAAAAAGAGTCTTACATTATTGACTAGAGGAGTAATAATTTTGTGAGTGCCTTTATATTTTTTTACTGAAAAAGTAGCTATGTCAATAAATTTAATAAGCTTACTTTTTGGCCAATATTAATAGTCAATAAATCGATAAACATTAAAACAATTACAGATTAATTTTAAATTCGATTAAATACAATATGCAATTATTATGAAAGTAATTTAAAGTTTAAACTTTTCATAAAATTTCCAATATTAACAAGATTTTATTGTCAAATTGTCATTTATTTTGAATTCGAGTTCTCTGTTATTCTATAATAAGATGTTAAACAAGCATTCTTTTTAAATAAACATCTTAAATAGGAGTAATATTTTCATAAAAATATTTCACTTTTTAATCTATTCAACACATGTACTAAATTGTACAATTAATCATCGATAAGAATCAAATCGATTCATTTTAATATTACTGACATGCACATAACAATTAATATCATGCAAATTCCTCCAAGTCTAAAAGTGAAAGGAATAAAATTTTTTTAAAAAATAAAAAATTTACAAGTACAAAAATATCACGATATCATACAAATTCAATTTATTGTAAAAAATTGTATCTGAATCCACTTTAAATTTATAAAATATTTTAATTCAGATACTAACATATGAAAAAAAAAATGTAAATATTAATCCAATCAAAAACTAAAACAACTGAAACTACTTGCAACCTTGCACAGATGCTTAAGGTTGCAAGTTGTATGGAACCCACAATCTTTCACTTATAAAGAGTTTCCATGCCATTTGATCAGAAGACCACTTGATAACGTTCCAACTTTAGCATCATCAGTTTCTTCTAATCCTACACAATCTGTGGCTGAACCACTGTCTCAAATAAGTTCCCCACCTCATCCAATATTGCAATGAGATATTGCTCCTTCTCTTATGTAACCAGTGTCATTTTCAGTCTCCAATCTCAATGATTCTCCTGCACCAGAATCCTAACCTTCAATACAAACCAGTTCTGATCATTCTTGTTCTTTACCTCTGCAAACCAATATTTTATATGACTCTTATGGTTGACTTTCTTCCTTCCTCCCCTCATTGGGATCCCCTTCCACCATCTCATCTTTGTTGTGAATGTTGTTGTGTGGGGTGTGTCAAAAGAAGAGTCTCACATTACTTGGGATTGTAGAGACTAGAGGTCCAAGTAATAACCAATTTTGGACTACTAAATGGGCTAAAATGAGAAGTGAATTTGTATGCACAGCGGGTCACTGGAGATAAATCCAACAAATTTTCCTTATCCCTTGAGCATTAGTCAAACACAGTATTAGGCATTTATATACAAAATATCTATCTAATTAATATGTCATTTCAATCACCATCATGCCTTATCAATGCTCGCAACCGACAACTTTAAACTACTCATTAAATTGTATCCATGACTATTAATCAATGAGTTAATTGCTACTAAATGCATTTTTTTATCTTTCATTATTTTGCTCATCCTGTTTTTGTAAGAAGGATCCCTTTAATCCTAGCGGCTCTCTTGCTTTGTCCCTAGTTGCCAAATACTCCTCCGGTTCTTAATATAGGACCCAATTGTTAAGTTGGTTTTGGTTCTAAATATAAGACCTATTTATCATATTTATCAATTTTCTCTAAATTATCTTCATGGATACTCTCTCAACCATAATCAAGTAGAAAAGGGAGAGAAGGGTATTAAGAAATATGATTATGGTGTTCTAGGAAAAACATGTCACATTTCTTATAATTAACTAACTTACCTAACTTTCTTAATCTAATCAAATTAGTTAAATAGATCTTATTTATATTAAGGACCAGAGGAGTAACTTTTAAGGACATTATCCATAGGACAAGACTTGGATTTACCACTTATCTGCAGGTGTTGTTGTCTACAAGATTTGGGCATTACAGATGACGTTAGAAGACTCATTGAATTTTGGACAATTTAGGTGTTGTCGCCAACAATCTTAAGAGCTAATAATGTATCAATTGTTTTGGCATTCATCGGCAGCAGAGCCAACAATCTTAGATCTTATCAATTGTTTTTGATTAAAAGGAAGGTATGATAGGATAGACTCTTGATGATGAAAACTCAGCTATTATTACTTTTAAATTGATTGGGAGTTTTCAAAATCTCTAAGTATGATAAAAGCCCCAGGTGATCACTTGGATCCAATGCTTTAATTAATGAAAACTCACTTTAATCAAAGTTGATTGACATGTCTTAAAACATTGTTAAAAACCACTTAGAGATTTGTAAGACTTGATTTAGGATTTGTAGATCTTGTGTTTAAACTACTGCAATGTAATTAGATTGGATGCTGTTTAATGTTGAATTATTTATATGAATATTTCAGTTTTGAATTCTTGTGGTCAGTTGATTGTCAGTGATTATTGATTATTATTTTGTTTACTTGGCATTTTGTGGTTGTTAATTGACAATATGAGGACACTATCATCATCCATTTATTTACACTCTAAGTGGTTGTTCACTACCAAAAAAAAACAGTTGATTAGCAATGGAATTTGCGACAAAAACAAATTGCGTTGCTAATTTCTGACGTTAATTTTTTTGATGGATTAGCGATGGAATTTCTATCCGTCGCTAAATTCCGTAGCTAATCCATCAAAAAATCCGTCAATAAATATTTAGCGATAGAATTTTTCCGTCAGAAATTTCCATTGCTAAATTGTTTATCACATAAGTTTTTGTCACTAATTCTGTCGCTAATTCTATTCTGTCATAATTTCGTCGCTAATCCATCAGTAATTTTAAATTTTATTATTTTAAATTATAATCTTACAAAAATTTATATAATAACAATTAAGAATATATTTAAAACATTTTTAATTATAAAATAAATTGATATATTTGTGGAGTTGGTGTTAATGAAAGTATCATCATCATTCATATTATCATTATGTATATATTGAAAATAAAAAGACAATTTTTTAGAAAACTTGTTTATATCTTGTTAAAATAAATTCCTCTTGATTATTAGTAATAATTAAAAAAATATAAGAAGAACATTAATAACTTTCTTATACAAACTAATATATTGAAATGTATAATATTTTATCATCTATACAATATATTGAAATATATAATATATGATAGAAATTCAAAAACAAAATAAATTTATATGAATGCAAACTAATATTAAAGTGAATTTTGAATTTCAATCATTAAACAATAAAATTTAATTATAATATAATTAATACCCATGATATAGATTGATTTTGGTCTTCAAAATAAAAACAAGTGGTATATATAAAGAATTTTAAGAAAATAAATTACATAGTATATATATACAAGTAAGAGAATGCTGATTATCATAATATATTCAAATCATTTAATTTTTTATATAGAATAATTTATTAGATTTTATTATAGTAGTTATTTTTTGAATAATAAGATTTTTTGACTAATTGTAAATGATTTTTTTCAAATATATAAAACACATTAGATAATATAATATAATATAACATGAGATAATATAATATAATATAATATAATACATATATAATCAAATTGTATATCTTATCAATGTTAATTAAAAACTAAATTCAAAAAATATTTATAAAAAAATTATTTATGATTTAAAATTCAAAACTAGTGTCGTTAGAAATTAGAATTATATTAAAAATATTTACTTAAAAATAAAACATTATAAAAAAATAGTAAAACAAATATTAAAATTTTTTTTTGATTAAAATAGTTATGATTAAAATTATCATATAGTATATTTTTAAATTATCATATAGTTATGACTAAATTGTATATCTTATCAATGTTAATTAAAAAATAAATTTATAAAATATTTATAAAAAATTATTTATGATTTAAAATTTAAAATTAGTGTTGTTAGAAATTAGAATTATATTAAAAATATATATTTAAAAATAAAACATTATAAAATAAATAGTAAAACAAATATTTAAAAATTGTTTTTTCATTGAAATAGTTATGATTAAAATTATCATATAGTATATTTTTAGTTTTTAATAATATATGTGTGTATAAAATTATTTGTATAAAATAATATTATATATTTAATTTTACACAATAAGTCAACAGGTTCATTGCAGCTCAACTCGTAAAGCTACACGCGCGCACAGAGGAGGTCCTGGGTTCAAGCCATGGAAAAGTCACTTAGGCGAGGTGGCAGCACAAGTGGAGGTATTCAAAAATTCTACTGTGAATATCACTATAGTAATTATTAGGGTAATTGATCCCAAATATTCTACATGACAAACACATAGGCACTCGATGTGTATTATTCTTACTCAAAAGTCAATTTATTTAAAAGAAGAGGAAGGAAATAAATTCAATTTTGAGTAAAAATAATACACATCAAATGTCCACATGTCTACCATTTAGAATGTTTAGGGTCAACTTTAAGCCGAATCAGGAAAGTAACAGTTAAATATAACATTTCTGTTAGTCTGGGATATGTACACACCATTTTAATTAGTTTAGGATACTGGATGCATTCAAAATTATTTTAGACCACTGGACGCACTTGGGTAAATAGTTCGGGGTGCTGGCGCACCTTAACCCTAATTATTATCTCTTGGACCAAACCCAAAATCCAAAAAACAATTAACCTCAATTCTTAAAAGTCACTATCATCACCAATTCTCAAACATATTAAGCCATTAGTAGAACCAACTATGCAAGCTTTCATTGAAGGATTTATTAACAGGATTTGAAGTACATCG